AAGTCACAACCCTTTCTAGTGAAAAGTGAGTGAAAACATAAGTAGGCCATCTCTTCAGGGACAACAAAGGTTTCTGACAAAATAACAAAACAAACCAAAAAACCCTCAAATCTGCTAATTGTAGGTAAACATAATGACTGAGTACAAATTCTTTAACATGTATTGGGTAGCCACTCAGTAAAATAATGTATACTTAATTTTCAGCCTATAAAAAACAAAAAATTCAACAAATTACCTATCTTTAGGGTTACAATAAATGTGAGATACTTGGCTGGCAAAAAATAAGTTAATTGTTCAAGGGAAAAAATTAGTAATCACTTAATTACCCGTATCAAATAATCAGTAAGACTCACTAGCTGATATCTTGCCCTTATGAGCATTCAGATGAAATACAAGTTATACCCCTTTATTGTGCAAACAGGCAATTTACAAAGCATAAATAATGCCAAAGGAGAAGAAAGGCAGACTAAATATTATTCACAGACTAATATGGATATTATTTTACCAGACAGAAATTATTTCAGACCAAGTTCACAAGCTTAAAGACAACAAGATTTTCTACAATCAAATTTCTATGACAGTAATTTCTAGGAATTTATTGGCATAATAAGTTTTCAGGAGGGGCCAACATTCCATATGGGGTAAAATTAAAGTATGCTAGAAGTCTTTTACAGTAATAACTCATACAAACAATGTTGATTTCATGCCCATTAAATTTCCAGTATTGACATAGAAATAAAATGGAAAATTTATTCCAGAAATGTACATGTTTTGTTCCCACTTGCACACAAAAACTGAAGGAACATATTAACTGTGAAAGAAATTAAAGTGAGAAATTAAAAATTTCAAAAGTTAACATTAAGTAATACAATGCTGATTTTCTTCATTTCAATGGACCTGGTCTCTTTCGCGACAAAAATTCTCATTGCCATAAAGTCAGAACCAACTCCTAGGTGACCCTCCACTGGGTTTCCAAGGCTACAAATCATATGGGATGAGACTATCCATCTTTCTCCTAACAAGCCCCCAACAGACTCCAAACCACCAGAGATGCACACCTTTGAGTTAGCAGTACTACTCCCTGTGGTCACCAGGTCACCAGAGCTCCTGTGGGGACAGCCTCCTACTAGATGAGAAGTAATTCCTGAACTAGGTCAGAGGATTTCTTTATTCTACTGAATTATATAAAATAGAAAAATTTATAACTTCACTTCTCTTTTTTTTCTGGTTGTGTACCATCAAATCCAATCCGACGGGCACAGGAGGTACAACTTCACTTCTTGAAATGTATTAAACTCAGGAAAGCAGGGCACCATTCTGCACTTAAGTGATGTCATAAAATGTCTAAATTGTATTCAAGTAATCTGAAAAAAGTGATGCTTATTAACAAAAACTCAAATAGGTTTTACTGCATGTCTAACATTATTGTATTATATACTTAGCAACCAAGTTCTTGGGAAGCTTAATGATTACATTCATTATTAACAGTTAATAAATTAAGAGTAAAAATTACATTCATGTACTATTTTTAATAAAAATCACTCCTTTTTTTTGGCAATTAGGATTATTCTACATGAACAAGAAATCTGCCACAGCTTCTCAATGACTTCAGAAACATAACCCAAATTCCTCAGCAGTCAGGAAGGTGATTGCATCTTCCCCCTAAGTATCTTTAAGTTAACAAAAATATGTCCGGACTCCTCCGTTCCTTTGTACTTGTGGCCGTTCTGCTTGATATGCCCTTTTCCTCACCTTTAAACTACATGATATTCCAACTTAATCTGCTTTTCAATACACAACTCAGACATCACCTCCCCCTGCAAATCCTCCTTGATTTCCCGCTTGTTTATGCAGAAGGTCTTCTCTGCTTCCATAACTCTCTTGATCATCACCAGCAAAATCCACAGATCAGCCTACCATACTTGTTCATTAACTCATCCATCTCCCCACTTATTTGTTGTAATTCCTTAAAAATTACAACTAGAAAGTCACCCCAATTTTCCTGAAGTTAAAGAAACATCAAGTTGCAACCAAAAGAAACTATGGGTATGTAAGATGTCATAAATTACATCTGACAATGACCAAGGAAAGATTACACTAAAAACTGAAGTCCAAAGAAGTAACAAGATCTGTAGAAAATCCACTTGGGTTTTGGGGCTTTAACAGTATTTAAGCCTAAAATGCAGAAAGAAAGTAATATCTTACTGTAAGAAAAAACCGACCTGTCCAACTCTGTCAAATTCAGCCTTTGTATCCAATGGCTTCCTCAAGTGATCTAGACATTTAACCCATATGTACTTGGTGTGCTTGTCTATGCACCAGGCATTCATATAGTTTCTTGAAACAGTTACACTGATAATGATGATAACACATAATCTTATTTTTCACTTGAATTAATCATTTACGCTATCATTCTTTCCTAATATAGAGGTTATTGAAATTAAAAAAAAAAAAAGGAGTTACAGGGCTCAAGGTATCGTCTATTCAATTAGAAGGGTTATAACCCAAATTACAGAAAGAAGGAAAGCTGTTCTGTCTTCCAAACATAAATGATCTTTTCCCCAAACAGAAAGTGCCCGTATCAGCATTATCTGCACAGGACGGAGTTTCCAGGGTCAGTCTTGTGCTTTTCTTTTTCTGCCTCTCTCCTTTCTTTCTCCCTTCCTTTCCTAGGAAGACTCTGTGGTTTGCCTGAAGGTACTGAAGATATCTGCAAACTTGAGATGGTGGGAAGCTCTACAAGACAAAATACCTATGTCTTCAAGGATAAAGGGGGGGAAAACCAAAAGTCTAAGCAAAGAAGTGGAAGGTCAAAAACGGCATGTTTTAAAAATATTTTAAAAATGTGGATCCAAAGGGGGAGCAGAGGGTGGAGGATGTGGGGAGCACTTAATTATAGGGTCTCACAATTTGATGGGTCGGGGGAGAGGTGGGTAAAGGAAAGGAGAAAGATCTGGTGTGAAAAACAAGGTATACAAACTTTGTAAATAAATCAGTATAAAATAAAAATAAGGAAGAGAATACAGTAAAAAAAAACCCAAACAAACAACATACATGCACACAAACCAACTAGCTGTAATCTGCAGGTGTTATTTGGATCCTGACAATAACTAACCAAAGAAATGTATACATCACAGTTGATCTTTATGAGCAAGAAAGAAATTTGGAAAGACTAAATATTAGATGCTATTTGATGAAAAGACTATAGGTATCTGAATCATTCTTCATTTCTGTAGATATAATAATATTATGGCTATACTTTTAAAAGAATACTTATCTTTTAGAGATGTATACTGATTTTTAAAAATTAAATTATATGCCTGGAATTTGCTCCAGAATAATATAGAAAAGTAAAGAAAATAGGAAGGTATACATAAAATGAGATTAGCTAAAGGGGGGGGGAAGGGTTAATTATAAAAGATGAAGTTCACAATTACTCTGTCTACTTTTATACATTTTTTATTTTTTTATAATACAATATTTGAAAGTGAATGTGAGAGTGTTCCACTACAGAAGTAATACTCGCTTATTGAAAAGCAAGAGAGGAAATTCTGTTCCTACTTCTTCAGTTTTACTATGTAAACAAGTCAAAATTGAGAAGGAAAAGAGATCTTTATCAAACCTTTATTCAATTAATAAAACCCTTCATTAAAAATGCTGCATATATCAAATTTTCTGCTATAATAATCTAACTTTGAAAGACAGTACTGTACTATAGCCCTTTAATTTCATATCTTATTTCAACCAAATTATAACAGAATTATGTGACTATAACTAGATTAAATATTTTCTATTTACACATATTATGCTAACAGTTATGACAACTATTATATCAGCAATATACATCTCTAAGTAGTAATGAGTGGTAGGCTACTGTTATGTACCTGAGTCGCCTTCCACCCATAGTGACCCTATGTACAATAGCTCTGAACTCTGCCCTATCCTGAGCCTGTCTCACTGTCTCTGATACTTCTACCCCCATTATTACCCTAATTACTGTGTCAATCCATCTCATCCAGGGTCTTCCTCTTCTGCACTGTCCCTCCCCCTTTCCAAGCATGATGTCCTTCTCCAAGGACTGGTCCCTCTTGGCCACGTGCCCAAAGTATGTGAGACGGAACTTCAAAATCACTGCCACGTGCAGAACATGATCCTGCCTCTCGTTTAATGCAGTCTGCACAAACCTTTAACTACTTGAACAAATCTCTTCTTGACATGTATTACAGGAGAATGAATTACAGGCTGACGTATATAAATATGCAAAATATTTACACAACCTTTTGTGTGTGTGATTTAGTGTCTTTATTTATCATTGTGGTTTTGGTTAAAATATTTACTAAAGGTAGCCAATTAAAAATAATCTCCAGGCATATGCAAATATGTAATATTCATCTAAACGTGATTCCAATGTTAAGCTTCCACTTTTTTTTAAACAGTTTTGAAAATTAATAACACACACCTTAATTCTATCAAGAACTGTTTGCCAAAAATAACAGAAAACTCCCTTCTGTAAGTAAACGCGGGTGGGCACATTTCTAGTGAACACAAATCCGACCGCTCTAGGAATCTTACTTACACTTCTGCTTATTGAGTTCAGAAATTAGAAATGTCTAGCCTTTAGGGAGGTTTTGTTGCTAAATTTTTCTATAGTACCACCTTGAGTTAAAGCGTTCATGAAGTCTTTAAAGATTAAAAGAGTAGTTAACGGTGCAAACCTTGCCCCAATACTGCATCCCTTTTCCTTACGCATGGCTTTTGCTAGACGTCCATCTGCTGGGGGTATCCTGCACAAAGTCAAGCCCCAGTAAAGCCCTGGCCTGTGGTTCTTTGAGGCCCTTTGCCTTTTGCACAGGGAGCGCCATACATGACTCGCATTAAGATTGCATTCATTTCACCAAAGGCATCGCGTCTCCAGGGCAACCGAGAACAAACGTGGGGTAGAGCGAGGGCCCGGCGGCGCCGACATCCACCCATCCAACCCCCCACCTGGGAGCTCTCACCTGCCGCCCGCCGGGGTCGCCGCGCACCCGCGTGTCGAGCGCGCCGTGGCGAGTTTCGTCCCCACCGCTGGAGCGATAGATGAGCCGGAGCGGTACGATGCTCTGGCGCTCCAGGAAGCGGTTGTCGTTCCTCCTCTCCAGCTCTGTCAACGAGGCGTCTCCTCCAGGCGGGAAGGAGGGCAAAGCGAGTAGAGAGGAAAAAGAGGAAAACATCATCCTGACCTCCACCCGTCCATCCTGCGGTCCTGCGTCTCCTCGAAAATCCCACCGCCCCCTCCCTCCTGGACCTCATCTAGGAAAGATGCAGAGACACCAGCCTGAGAGCTCATCTCAGAGCACCCAGCATGGGGCCCAGAACCGGGGACCCCTATCTGTATCCTCCACATTCTCCTAGAGAAAAGGAAGCATCTGATCTGATCTGATCTGATCGTTAGCTTCTAATACACCCCTGCGCCCACGCACCCATACATTTTGCTCCACCTCTTGCCATACTTCCAAATAAAAATCTCCCCGTGCGCTCGGGAGACAGGGATGTTCCTGTTCAATGCGCTTGAGGGCTCCAGAAATTCCCGACAATTGGTCCGTCCCGCAGCCATGTATGGGGGCGAACTTACCTGCCCGGCTGCAGCGCACCAGGGGACAGGTCCCCAAGGCGCAGAGCAGCAAGAAGGGCACGGACGCAGCCGCCGCCGCCGCCTGCATGGCGCTGCCCGTCAGCCCGCCTGGCCGCGGACGCTCAGCTCCTCATGGGCAGCAGGGTCTGGCCACGTCGTCCGGCGCCCCCAGGCTCGTCTCGGCAGCCCCCTCCCAGCCCTGGCCGGTGCCTCGGCGGCCACGGCGCTGCAGCCTCCACCGCGGCGCTGCCTCAGTGCTGCATTGTGCTCCGCGGGCGCTTCCGCTGGCGGGGGGAGCGAGCGAGTGCTGCATTGGGCGGTTGGCTGTAGCTAAGTGGTTTCTAGCGCCTCCCACCTCATCCCCTGGCAGAGGCTCCGGCGGGCGACGAGCGAGCGCTCTGCGGGAAGCCAGCTCCCGGTGCACTCGCCCCCCGCGCGGGCAAGGGCGCGCGCAGGAGAGCCATCTGGGAAATGTAGTTCTCTTTCCACGTTACTCTGCCTTCACAGGGGCGCCGACTGTAGCCACCTGGTGACCACTTGGTCCTCTCCCTCCTGCAGACAGGAGAAAGAAGAAAAGGCTAAAAGAAGAGGTCATCGCTACCCAGCTACCTGGTAATGAAGGCTTTCTGCCCACTGCTAAAGGAGCGCAATTCATCCATATTGTCTGCAAAATAATCTGTAAGAAAGCAACCCAGAAAAGTAGTGGTCTTGTGTGCCTTCAAGTCGACACCACCTTATAGCTGACCCTCCAGCAGGTTTTCAGAGGCTGTAAATTGCACAGGGAGAGATTGGCCAGCCTTCTCTGACACTTCAACCCTCATTACCCCAGTCACTGAATCAATCCATCTCATCGAGGGTCTCTCTCCTCTCTCTCTCTCTCTCTCTCTCTCTCTCTCTCTCTCTCTCTCTCTCTCTCTCTATCTCTATCTCTCTATCTCTCTCCTCTCTCTCTCTCTCCGTCCCTCCACCCGCCAAGGACCGGTCCCTCCTTGCAACACGCCCAAAATATGTCAGAGGAAGCCTTTGAACCCTTGCCTCCAAAGAACAGTCTGGCTTCACCCTCTCCAGGACAAACCCATTTGTTCTCCTAGCACTCCCTGGTATATTAAATACTCTTCTTCAGCACCACAGTTCAAAGCCATCAATTATCTTTCTATCATCCCTTGTCATTGTCCGGCTCTCAGACACATAGCAAGCAATTGCAAAGACTATGGTCTGGATCAGGCCCACCTTAGTCTCCAAACTGACATCACTGCTTTTCAGTACTCAGGAGAGGTCCCTGACAGCTGACTTACCCAAAACAATTCGTCTCTTGATTTCCTGGCTGCTGGCACCAAGAGTGTTGATTGTGGAACTAAGCAAAATAAAGCTGTTAACAATCTGAATCTCTTCTCAATCTATCATAATACTGCCAATTGGCACAGTGGTGAGAATCTTTGCTTTCTTGATGTTGAACTTCAATCCACATTGAAGGCTGCAGTCCTTAGTCTTCTGAAGCAAGTGCTTCAGGTCCTCCTCAGTTTCAGCGAGCAGGGTTGTGTCATCTGCGTGGTATAGGTTGTTAATGAATCTTCCTCCAATTCTGACGTCACATTCCTCCTCATACAGCCCAGCTTCCTGGATATAATGTTCTGTATATAGATTGAAAAGGTATGAAGACAGGGTACATCCCTAGCGTATACCCTGCCCACTTTGGAACCACGCAGTATCTCCTTGCTCTGTTCTGATGACTGCCTCCTGGTCCAAGTATAGATTTCACATAAGCACAATCAAATATTCTGGGTTTCCCATTCTTCTCAGAGTCAGCCACAGCTTGTTGTGATCCACACAGTCAAATGCCTTTGCATAGTCAATGAAACATAGATAGAAATTTTCTTCTGGTACTCTCTGCTTTCAGCCAAGATCCATCTAACAGTAGCTATAAAATCCCTAATAACATAGCCTCTTCTAAATCCAGTCTACACATCTGGCAGTTCTCTATGGATGTACTGCTCCAGTCATTTTTTTTTTTAAGTTTCAGAAGAATCTTGCTTGCATATGATATTTATGATATTGTTTGATAATTTCCACACTCTGTCGGGTCACCTTTCTTTGGAATGGGAAGAAATATAGATATCTTCCAGTTGGTTGGCTAGGTAGTTGTCCTCCAGATTTCTTGGCACAATTTAGTGAGCACACCCAGGGCAGCATCTGTGTGTTTAAATATGTCAATTGGTATGCCGTCAATTCCTCAAGCCGTATTTTTTTGTAAGTTCTTTCAGAGCAGCTTGAACTTCTTCCTTCATCACCACATGCTCTTGCTCATACCTTGTTTCATTAAATTCTTCTGTGTCAGCCAACTCCTTCTGGTACAGTGACTCTGTATACTCCCTCTATCTTCTTTTAATGCTTCTTGGACCATTTCATATTCTGCCCTAAATACTGCCTTAAGTATTGCAACCCGTGGCTTTAATTTGTTCTTCAATTTCTCCAGCTTAAGAAATAATGACTAAGTAGTATACTTAAATTTTTCTGGGGGGGAAAAATCATGTTTTATTTGCTGTTGAGTTGCTTTGAGACTCATAGCGATCCTATACACAACAGCCCTAAACCCTGATCTATCTCTTGCCAATCTTTTTGTCTCTAACACACCTACCCCCATTACCCCAGTCACCGAATCAGTCCATCTCATCGAGGGTCTTCTTCTCCTGCGTTGTCCCTCCACCCTCCCAAGCATGAAGTCCCTCTCCAAGAACTGATCCCGCCTTCCAACATGTCCAAAGTATGTCAGATGGATCGTGCTTGCAAATAATTAACTTTTCCCCAAATGCTGATTGAAGACCTGCTGAGTGCCAAGTACAGAGGACATAACCCTAAACCACGTAAATGTGAAGTGATGCTTCCAGATACATTAGACTATAAAGACATTTTACAATTAAAAAAAAAAGACATGTATTTTTTTTTTTTTGTTAATACCTAGAGGAAGAGTCTCCAAAACGGGGAAATTCGAGACGGCCAACTGGAGAAGGCCTTTGCAGAGACTTGAAGAACGCCTTGGAGTCAATGTGAGTTTTCAGAATGTTTCTCTAACTTCTGCCCTTTCCAAATTTGTGTCTGAACATCAGTTATAGTGTGCTCTACTTTCTCTGGGCTGCATATTCCATTTGCTTTTAATGCTCAATGTTACCAATTCTCAATGATGAAACAGCAGTAAAAAGGCTATTGATATCACGGTGATATAGTGGTGTGGTGTTAGCCTAAAAGTTGGTGGTTTTTTAGCCATTAGTTACCTGCCTCTGGTCTCCAGCTACCTTAAAACATGTTTCCACAAATGATGGCTATGTTGTTGTTATGTGCCATCGAGTCGTTTCCGACTCATAGCGACCCTATGCACAACAGCTCTAAACCCTGCTCTATCCTGCGCCAACTGCACCGCCTCTGACACACCCATCCCGATTACCCCAGTCACCGAATCAATCCATCTCATAGAGGGTCTTCCCCTCCTGCGCTGTCCCT